AGAAATCTGTCCAATCCCCTTTTAAAGGCATCCAGGCCAGATGCCATTACCACATCCTGTGGCAAGGATTTCCACAGTATAACAACACATTGGGTAAAGAAATATTTTCTTTTGTCTGTTCTCACTCTTGATCCTGTCAGCACTGTTCCCATCAGCATTGTCAAAGGAAGATTCAAATTTTCCTTTTTTTCAGCATCTGTGTGGAGTGACTATCTTGCCTCAGGCAGCAAAATGTTTCTGCCTGGCTCTGGTTTGATCATAGTCAAGAGGAGGTAGGTTCCCCTAATGATTCTTCCTGAGTCATTGTTTTTTTCATTCCTCTCAGATGTAAACAACGTTGTTGACCAGGCTCTGCCATGTAGGAGAAGGTGGTCAGGAGCAACCAGGTCAGCTGCTCAGGTCATCTCAGTGTTTTATAGACCAATCAGGACTTTAACCAGAGTGCCAGTTATACTTATTCAGAAACTCCTCAGAGCGCCCTGGGATGTGTTGGAATCCATTGGCCTCCAAGGGCAAACATCTTAAGACTTTACTTCTCTTTACCTTGCAGCTACTGAAAGCAACAGGAAATGGCCCAGCTGTGACAAGGGAACAGATATAAAATTCCCCCAGTGCCAGATCACACCCTTTTGTCCAGTGGAGAAAACTGTATCTAGTTACATAGGTGTCATTGACCCTGAGGTGATTCAGATGAAGTGGCCCTGACATGGATACTGGGATACTCCAGAAAACAACAACAGGAACTAGTGACATGATGCCACTAGAGAAAACTTTACATATCAGAGTAATATTAGCAAGAGACAGTTTTACTGATCCTCTTTGGTTGTACAAACAAGTACTGCATGCTGTTAAGATATTAAGACAGCCAGTGTCGTACAGTGGCTAGAGTGGGACGAGAACCTGGGAGATCCAAGTTCTAAATGCTACAGGGTCATTAAATTAAGTGGGTAACCTTGAGGCAGTTACTCTTGTCTCATTTGAAATACCTGAAATACAAATACATGTTATGAAGGTAAAGCAAGGAGGAAGAGAGTCATGTACGCTCCTTGGGAAAAAAGACAGATTAAAAAATGTAAGATTAAAATAAATAGTAGTACCAGAATAAATAAATATCAGTTAAATATAAGTTGCACTGCTAGAAGTATACTGATTTCTTGCTTAGGCTTGTTGTCCAGTTTTGTTTTTCACATATCTGCGTTGTTTGTAATGTTCCTGTTGAACATTCGACAATAAAGCTTCCTTCCCTCATCCTTTTCCACTTGGCAAACTTCGCATTTTTCCTCTCTGTTTTTTTTCTAGAGCCAAAAGCCCCCATGAGTTCCTTTTGTTTACCTCCTTGACCATCACTTGTAAAGCTACTGAAAAACTGAATGCAAGCTCTGGGAATAGCTTGAGTGACACTGCTCACTAAGGTCATTAAACAATCCACTTTCAGACAGATGCCCCTATTCTGTAGATCTCATCTTCAAGGATGCAGGATTTATACATTTCCACTTGTGTAGAACTTCCTGATTTCATCTAGCACCAGAAGTGGAAGTTCAAAAATACTATGAGAACGTAGTAACATTTGTGCAGTAATAATCTAAAGTAAGATAAGAGTAATAAAGCCACAAGCTTTGTGAGATCATGTTAGATTCACTATGAGAAGGTATTCACAACTTTTTCCAGTATAATTTGGAACACACCTAGAAGTAGGGATGTGAAAAATATTTGCAAAATTATTCATTTTTTATGTGGCAGCCTCTACAAGACTTCTTGCCTTCAATGTGAGAATGAGACAGAACAGTATTTCCCCATCAAGGTTTACACAATTTTCAGAAAATATCTACGCCAAAAGCTAGGTTTTTTTCCTTTTCTGAAACACGGCACAAACAGTCAGGGAGCACCATAAGGGCTAGTTCACTGATTTAAAAATGCAAGTTACCCATCCAAGACCATACAAGGCAGCAGCTATTGTAATATTCTACAGTTGTGCTGTTGAGCAAAACTCATTCTTGCAAATGTGAATATTATTATTACTTATCAAAAATACCAGGCACAGTCAATCAAAATTATAAAAACATTGACTGGTTTTATATAGATACAAGCTTTAACCAAAAACCAAAGTATCTGTTAAATATCAACGTAGTATATATGATGTTCCTAGTATTGTCTAGTATTTTTTGCAGCTCTCATGGTGTTATTTCTAGAATCTGCAACTACTTATAATATTGTGTGAAATCTCTTATTGTTCCCAAAGCCCCAAAGACTACAGGGACCACTGAAGTGTGTTTCATCCACAAATGCAATGTTTCAATTGCCCAGTCTTTGTACTTTGTTAGTTTTTCCAGTTCTTTATTTTCAACTCTGGCATCTCCTGGAATTGCAATGTCAATGATCCAAACCAAACATTTTTTCATTCTATTGTTACTATGTCTGGTGTGTCATGTTCAAAGTGTCTATCAGTTTGGATCTGGAAATCCCACAAGATCTTGACTTCCTCATTTTCTGACACCATCTTTACCTGATGTTCCTGTGGGTTTTTGGAGACTGGCAAGTTATATTTTTTTGCATAATGACCAGTGCACTAAATTTGCTACTCTGTCATGTCTAAATTTGTAATCTGTGCAATCTTTGGACATTCACAGATGAGGTGTGACACAGTTTCATCTTTTTCTTGGCAAAGTCAACATTTGCTGTTAGCATTAATTTCTTGAATCTTATCTTTCATCATATTAGTTTGGAGTGTTCTTCTGCAGCAAAAATTAAGCCTTTCTTTCTTTCTTTCTGCAAAAATTAAGCCTTCGGTTTCTTTCTTCTTCTTCTTCTTCTTCTTCTTCTTCTTCTTCTTCTTCTTCTTCTTCTTCTTCTTCTTCTTCTTCTTCTCATCATCATCATTTCAACTTATATATTGCCACATAGTGCTAGAGTGCTCTCTGGGTGGCTTAAAACATTACTATGCAAGAAACATTTATTCAAAGATTTCACTGTTTTTGAGGCAAGACAGAAAACTGGTTTGTTGTTCCCATACACGAAAATGAGTGAAGCTAGGATTTACATCCCTGCCCAAGAGCAAATAGATTATTGAAAGAGGATAAAATATGATCACCAAAAAAGAGGAAATTCATAAAAAAGGACAAATTTGCATAAAATATGTGGATGCTGATTTATGAGGTTAGGTACAAATTTGGAAATAATTGCTATACTATAAATAGAAATACAACACTGTACATCTCATCATAGTGGGGGAGACTGGGCCCAAGTGACCTATGTCTCTGCTTGCTCTGTTCTCCAGATACTAACTGCTGACAGGCAACTTGGATGTCCTTGCTTTCTCCTTCCATGGTCCTGCTTAGATTGGACAGCCCCCCCCAACAGAGAAGGGCAGGGCTACAAGTAGCCTATAGATCAGTGGTCCCCAACCTGGGGCCTCCAGAGGTTCTTGGACTTCAACTCCCAGAAATCCTGGCCAGCAGAGGTGGTGGTGAAGGCTTCTGGGAGTTGCGGTCCAAGAACATCTGGAGGCCCAAGGTTGGGGACCACTGCTATAGACTACATGCAGCCCCAGGTTGGCTTGCAGCTCCTGTCCTCCCAGGAACTGGGGCTGCTAGATTTTGGTGGCAAATTGCACAGCCAATATTTGAGAACTAATAGGGGTTTTTGCTATCTTTTTTGCAGCTGGTGCCAAAACAGAAAGGGGGGGATGTTTAGTGCCAGAGCAGGGGGTGAGGGATTCTGGAGAATTGTCCCTGGAACCAAACCACCAAATCTGCTCAAAGCAACAAGGGGTATTTGCAAATAGAGGACTGTCCTTCACGGTCTACATGGGGAGGCAGCAGCTATGAAGGGTCTAAGAGAAGCCAAACATATTTCCTCACTAACCCAAAGTAGCCAATAATTAGCTGTAAGATGTGGGTGCATAGCTTCCTTGGCCATACCAACTGGGGAAGCAAGAGGCCTAAGCAACTCTATGCACCTCCATAAGCAAGGCTTTTACATGCCTTTTTTTTCAATGGAACTCAAATTCCTGCATATGATTCCAGTGTTAATATGACATCCCCATGCCATTCAGAAATGAGTATCAGAGCCAGAATTTCAGCCTGGTGATCTAAGAGATATCTGCTGCAATAGAGCATCAGTGCATGTAGTGTGTGATTTGAATCAGTGGAGGAGGGCATAGTAAGTGAAGACAAATGACCCGAGCTTGGTTTTGCTCTCTTGTCTTTTCTAGATCAGCATGAAGATTGGTGCTCTTAGGCTTCCTTTCTTTTCTCTCTGAGACATGTTCCTGTTTTTTGTGCTTCCATCTTGGCTAAAGGAAAACATGGTATGAATACTTAGCTCTAAGAGCTTCAGTAACAAGGTTCAAAGATCATCCCCCCCTCTTGTACTATCTCTAAGTTGATTTCCTACACAATAAACAGGAAGTATTTCTTTTTGCTTTACTGCTGGTCCCCATAGTGGTTATTCCTTTTCAACAATCCAAAGCCTTGCACTGTGCAAGAATAAATACCAGGCAGCCCTAACAGTTTCCCCTGTGTAAAACTAAGTAGTTCAGGATGAATGAAGAAATTGCAAGGATAACAGCCAAAAATCCCCGCAGCCAGAACTGCCGAAGTGGTTCCCCTTGGCAGGTGAGGCTTGTAGGTTGATCTGAGCAATTCAGTCCTCATTGTGAGCTCTCATCTGCAATCGTAAAGCCCTAATTCAGATTTAATCCCATAGTGAGAATTAGCTAAATGGGGGCAATTCTTGGTGAAGTGCAGGTTTCTTTTGGCCCCTGCCTGCTTCCCTTTCAACTTTTCCTCATCTTGCCCTTGAATTCATAGGACCTTGAATTGGCAATCGGATGCAATTGCCAACCATAGGAATGTGCCTACAATGCTAAACTTTCCCAGCTTCAGCAACAATGAAATGCTGATGACTTCCCCACTGCATTTCCTCATATGTTATTTGTGGCCCAGGTGGGAACAGTCAACAAAGATGGTGACTTAGGTCATTCTCAAAAATTTATTGGAGGTGTTCGAACATATTTATTAGTCAACAAAACAAACAAAACCAGAAGAGGTTCTCAGGAAAATGGAACAATTTACAAATAACAGAATGCTGGCTGGGGATTCTGAGTATTGTAGACCACGCAAGTAACCTTTACAAACTTTGCAATATATATTTTTTGTCGAGAACGCATTAACTTGTCAATAACTTTGCAGGATGCATGCTCTCTCTCTCTCTCTCTCTCTCTCTCTCTCTCTCTGCCATTACATCAGTGGCCATATTTCCTGGGGCTTCTGGAAGTTGAACACCAAACATCTAGAAAGATAAAGATTCCCCAGCTTAAAAGGTTCCCACAGTCTAAAAATATCCATGCTTATTCCGGTGGCATCCCAAAAGCCTTCACAATGAGGATGCAGTACTTTAAAAATCGTTAAACCCCTTCAAAATGATCTTGTTTACTACACTTTTTTTCTCCTCTACTTTAGTAATTTAGCACTAAACAGAAAACTTTCAATGGAAGCAACAAAAAAAAAAACCTTTAAAAACAACAGGTCCAAACTGAAATACCACCACCCCCTACAAGAAATGGCTTTTCATCTATAGGGAAACAGGACTTTTTTACATGCTTTGCTATAGCTGATAGTAGTTTAAGCCTTGTGCCATCTAGAATGCTGGGGAACAAATACCAGTATTATCAGGGCACAGTACAGAACACATGCTCCAGCTGGACTAGCCCTGAATTCTCCTGATGATGTTTCAAGTATCCAAGACAGTTTGAAAAGACTTTACAACTATGAGGACATGTAAAGCTCACAATTAACTCAATATGACCTTGCCAGACTATAGAAATTACATATTTGGATGATTAAAAATGAAACCTGTAAGGCTTCTAAGAATTCTTCATTGCTTCCACACTGTTCACAGTGCAATTCACCCCTGTGTGTTATCTTCAAAACCTTCACCAATTTATCTAAATGGAAAATTGTGAAACCCACAGTTAAAAACAACAAATAAGAGATCAGTATTGGGATAATGATTTGTGATCATTTGTATTTGTTTTCTGACAGTCTGATCAATATACTGGACAATGAAATCCTACAAGGAATTTTAGCGATAAAGCAACCAGACAGAAAGAGTAAGATATAGTATACCCCTTTATTAATCTTCCCCTCAATTTTATTGGTGGAAGGGAAAAGCGATAACCTGGGCAGTTATTCAGGCTTGTGTTTGTTTTGCTGTCCAGTTAATCCTTGTATTATCTGAGGCAAGCAAAGCTTCAGTTAGATTAATGAGTCAAATGAAAACAAACCCAGAGGGCTCCAAGAACATGATCCCCAATTTAACACACTGAGATCCGTCAACAAGAACAGGCGCCACTTTGCACCCTTGAAGTAAGGGGTGAGCGTTTGCTCCTGTTGGTTAGAAATAAGCACTTTCACGGGGCTTTCAACATCAAGTACATGTTTGCAGAGTGGAAGCTAATGGGCTCAATGACCTACAGGCAGACTCTGACAGAGTTTGGGAAAGTTACCCTTTTTTTGTACTACAGCTCCCAGACTTTTCCAGCCACCGCATCAAATAAATAAATAAATAAAAATAAATAAATGGATGGATGGATGGATGGATGGATGGATGGATGGATGGATGGATGGATGGATGGATGGATGGATGGATGGATGGATGGATGGATGGATGGATGGATGGATAAAAAAGTTCCACGGTACAGCTAGTCTGTCATTAGAAGTCAACATCTGTTAGTTTTGCAGAGATGTGATGCAGGCAGGCTTTTGTGATTAACAATCATGCTTGCAAATGTAGCTCTTGCTTCCCTCCCATTCACCAAGAGCGAAACAAAGCAAGCTAATTTGCAAAGTATGTGAAGTGTAAAAACTCCTGTTAGGACAACCAATGTTCTCAGCAGTTAAGCAATGCTGCCTTCTAGTTTGCAAATGACATGCAACCAGCAATAATTTCTCACCTCTAGTCTGCCGTGCACCAATCAGTAAAGGCTGGGGATACCAGAAAGATACTAAAATTTTGTGCAGTATGAGCGGCATTATGAAGAAACAGAAACTCAAGGCTCCTACCAGCAGAAGAAAGTAAGAAGACAATCCCACGGAGGAGAGAAATTATTAAAGGAAACAGGATCAGAACTCAGGTTGTTTGAATGAGTATCCATGATGCTTCACAGAATCAAGGCATCTGGAGTCAATGCATCTGGTGACTAACACTTTCTTCAGGGGGAAAAGTTCAGACGATAGCAGTGCACAACCAGGCCAAAGGCCTGTCCTCTTCTATCATTTTATTTTGCGTTTTGTGGCAGAGCACATGTTGGATACACATTAACAGCTCTCGCTAACACTTTTGCACAGAATGCCAGTGGAAGGAGTCCAAAGTCCCACATGCTGTTTGCAATTAGTTGCATCCAATAGCAACTGGACTGGGGCCATCAAATAATTTCCTGAAATGGATGAGCAATTGTCAGATGGAACAAAAAATAGTCTGAGACCTACATAGTACTGAGACTGCCTCCCCATCCAATACAAGCCTAGCCCTCACTTGTTATGGTTGTGCACCATCCCATAGTATTTCTAGCACCATGTTCCTACATCAAAGGAGGTGAAGCCCATCACAAAGACTGTTCCCACACAGTTATGAAATGGCCTCCCTAATGGGATTCAGATCAGTACTTTTCTTTTAGAGTGGCCATGCATTTTACTAGATAAAGGACCGACCTCTAACTGAAGGCACAGTCTATTTGAAGTCAAGGGTTTAGAGATAAAACCGAACCAAAGATTTTGAAGGCATAGCATATCATTTTGCAAAGGGTGGGGAAAGGGAACCAGAGATTAACAAGACCATCTTTTGAATTTCTAATTGAAAGTTTAGATTAACAGAATTTACTGCCAAATAAATTTACTGGAGAATGAGACAAATAACTTGGAGAACCATGACTGTGGCAGAAGACGTTTCATTGAGCCATTTCTCAATGAATTACAGGACCAACTTTATGAACTTCTGATTAAATCATTGTTTCCTCCCAGCTCTAGTTGTTCTTCACCACTCATTCATTGTGACTGATTGAACCTGCCAGGATCAATATAGGGGCTTTTTAAAATGGAAGGCTTTGAGCACTTACCAGCTGCCTTGGCTGCACAGGAATGCTACAGCTTCATGCTGTCTCAGAATTCAAGATTATAATAATTGTATCTCAGGCCTTGGAGGGAAATGACACAAATACATTTATTTATTTAAATAGCTACAATGATAATCATGTCCCATCAATTCAATTCTGACTTATGGTGACCCTTTTTCAGGGTTGTCCACATAGAGAACATTCAGAAACTATTTGCCATTTCTTTATCCTGGGGGTGCCCTATCTTCTCTAAATGGTTATATGCTGCCCAATAACTAAAATTCTCTGTGCAGTTTACTATAAAATGACAACAGAATCTGCAAATCTAAAACCCTGAGAGCTGGACTGAGCTGCAGAAAGGAGGGGGTGAATTCTAACGATGAGTGAAAGTCAATGCTGAATAATGGGACACTTTTTAAAAAAATGTTGGCCTGAATCTAATTGGGAATTTAAACCAGCCTAAATGTAATTGTGTAAACATGGCAGCAAATAGCCAGTAATTAACAAGTTGTTGCTTGCATTCCTTATTGCATGCCAGTTGCACAACTTTGTGCACATTGATGGATTCAATTGTACTGTATCAGCTAGGACTCCAGAGGCCTGAGTTCAAATAACTGCTCTGCTGTGAAAACTCACTGAAGTGTGTGGAATTGGTTAAACACGAGCACTGTCTAGCATCAATAATGGACTGGACAAGGGCCATTAAATTAAAACTGAATCCAGATAAGATGGAGATCTTATTTTTGGGAGGATCATCAGACCAGTTAGAAGGAACCTTACCTGGCCTCGGTTACACTCCCCCTGAAGGATCAGGTCCATAGTTTGGGGAAAATATTGGACTCAGCCCTCTCTATGGAGGCACAAATATCTACTGTGGCCAAGAAAGCCTTTCAGCAGTTTCAACTGCCCAGCAGTTTCAAAACCTCTACCCAGAGAAGAAATGCCTAACAACAGTGGTTCACATGTTGGGCGTCTCTAAAAGAGACTACTGTACTGTAATGTTCTTTTCATAGAGTTGCCCTTGAAGTTAGTGTGGAAACTTCAGCAGGTCTGAAATGCGGCAGCCGGACTGATCACCGTTACCAACAGATATTTTACTTTACTTTATTTTATTTATTTTATTTCATTCATCATTCATTCATTCATTTGTTTATTTGTTTATTCATTTGTTTGTTTGTTTAATGTGTATACAATCCCATTAGTAAACACACACTATTCTAGCCAGTTTACAGAATAAAACACACAAAAACCCAATCTCTTCTAGTTCCTCCCCCATATAACAACACAGTCAGTATGGCAATACACCAATCCAAACATAGTTAGTAAAAAAGAAGAAACCTAAATTTAAAAAATAGTTTCAACTTAAGAACACCATTCCAAAATGGATTAAGTTCTTTAGTAGAGGTTCCACTGTAGTTTCTATGGACGGAAAAGAGCAGATACGGATTAAATAGTTTTCAATGCGTTCCTATGGGAAATGCAGATTCAACATAAGAACTTTTCAACTTGAGAACCACCTTCCAATACGGATTAAGTTCTTAAGTAGAAACCCCACTGTAATGTTCTTTTCATAGAGTTGCCCGTGAAGTTAGTGTGGAAACTTCAGCAGGTCTGAAATGCGGCAGCCGGACTGATCACCGTTACCAACAGTTATTTTACTTTACTTTATTTTATTTCATTCATCATTCATTCATTCATTTGTTTATTTGTTTATTCATTTGTTTGTTTGTTTAATGTGTATACAATCCCATTAGTAAACACACACTATTCTAGCCAGTTTACAGAATAAAACACACAAAACCCCAATCTCTTATAGTTCCTCCCCCATATAACAACACAGCCAGTATGGCAATACACCAATCCAAACATAGTTAGTAAAGAAGAAGAAACCTAAATTTAAAAAATAGTGTTAACAGCATTTGAGGATGTGTCCTCAAAACCTGCTTTATATAGTTCTGTCTTAACCAAAGTCTTAAATATCAGGAGGGGCAAAGCCTGGCATACCTCAGTTGAAAGTTTGTTCTGTAGAATAGAGACCACCACTGACAAGGCCTATTTCCTTGTTGTCACCTTTTTAGCCTCCCCTGATGTGGCCACTTTTAACAATGTGAATCGGGAGGAGCATGTGACATGAGTAGCTGTTTTCTGGGAGATATGTTCTAACAAGTATTGAACCCTAAACTGTTAACGGCTTTATAATCAACACTTTGAATTGAGCACAGAAACTGGCAGGGAACCAATGTAGACAGAACTTACTAGAGATACCTGATTGAATTTGCTAGCCCTAGAAATCAGTTTGGCCATCATATTTTGGGCCTGCTGAAGTTTCCATACTGTTTTCAAGGGCAGGCCTATGTAGAGAGCATTGTAGTAGCCTATTGTTGATATGACCAATGTATGAACCACTGCTATGAGGCATTTTGAATCCAGATAGGGGTGTAACTGGGCAATCAACTGAAGTTGATAAAAAGGCATTCCTGGCCACAGCTGATTTTTGAGCTTCCATAGAAAATGCCAGGTCAAGGAGTATCCCTAAGACTCCTTCAGAGGAAGTGTAACCCCACCCAGGTGAGTAAATGTCCCCCTAAGCAGTCCAGCAAGCTTCCTAACAGCAAAATCTGCCTTATCCACATTCAGTTTCAACTTATTGGTCTTTGTCCAGTCCATTACCAACACTAAGCAGAGCTCCAGGACCCAAACATCATCCTCTGCAGGTGAAACAAAAGAGAGATGGAGCTGTGTGTCATCAGTGTACTGGTAAAAGTGAACTCCAGATCTCCACATGACTTCTCCTAGTGGCTTCACATAGATGTTAAAAAGCATTGGGGAGATAATCAACTCTTGTGGGTCCCGACACATCCCCAGTCCTGTTTGTTTCCATGCCCAAGTCAATGTGCTTGGTCATGACTGACAAAACACTGAATGATTTAAGACCTCATTCTTTGTTCAAATGTCTATCCCACAAAACAGCTACCCATTCCACCCACTCCTTGCAGACCATGGTGACACCTAAGAGTTAACACTAAGAATCACCCTTTTTCGGTCATGGTCTCTCCATTCTGGAACAATCTTCCAACAGAGGTTTGTCAAGTGCCATCTCTCTGAGTTCTTAAGAAATGAGTAACAGCTGTATTATTTAAAATTATGTTTTATTAGTGCCTTTACTACCTGAGATAGTCAGAGCTGTTTTAATTTGTTCATTTTCATTCAAAGATAGGTTTAGTTAGTGGCAATGCTTTTTCTATTTTTATGGTGTTTGTTGTGTTGTTTTTGTAGTATATATGATGTGTGATTTAATGGACTGTAAACTGCCCAGAGAGGGTGGGAAAATAACTGTATGTATGTATGTATGTATGTATGTATGTATGTATGTATGTATGTATGTATGTATGTATGTATGTATGTATGTATGTATGTATGTATGTATGTATGTATGTATTATGTATTATGTATTATGTATGTATGTATGTATCAATCCATCCATCCATCCATCCATCCATCCATCCATCCATCCATCCATCCATCCATCCATCCATCCATCCATCCATCCATCCATCCATCCATCCATCCATACATACATACATACATACATACATACATACATACATACATAACACTCCTTAAATATCTCACTTACTTTGAAAGCCCTATTAGGGTAGCTATAAGTTGGTTACGACTTGACATCCCATAACATAATTATGTCAACATAAATCTCCAATAAGATTCTGGCCATTTCAGCTTAAAGCTGTTACTACGACTAACTAAACTTTAGGAGACATACTTCAATTAATTGTGAAATAGAGATACAAGGTTTGCCATGTGAGGAAATCTAGACAAATCTGAAACCTTCAAATCTGAAGTAGGGCTGAGATTCTCCACTCTGCCATAGGAAGAAAACAGATACATGATGTCTAAAACAGAATAAAACTATCACATAAAAATAGGGTTGATCTAAAAACAAGTACCATTTGTGCAAAGGACTAAAAGCTTTTTAAACTGAAAACCCAGCAGAGATTAAAAACATGCTCAGCTGGCTGACTTTCACCCCTAATCACAAGTTTGGCACCAAATGAG